AATGTTTATTTTGGAATAAAGAGGTTAATATAAAAAATATTTTTTGTCCGATTCATCGATTAATCGAAAAAATAATCGACCGATTCATCGATTTTTAAAATAATCGTTAGTTGCAGCCCTAGCTTAGACCTTAATCTAAATATGGATTTTCAGCAGGACTTGGACATTTCTTATCACAGATCCTATCAATCTAACCTCCCTTAGCTTAAAATAGTTTGCAAATTAGAATTGGCTAAAAACAGTGGCCAAATGTTTTAAATATTTATAGGCATTCCTTCAAAAGTTTATAAACTCTGACTTTAGCTATGCTACAGCTATGGTTTACTAAAGGGCCCATTTACAAACAGAATTTATAAAAGATAAAATATTATTCTATTATTATTTTCACTTGGGAGTTATGCATTACTTTATGGTGGTTTAAATAAAAAAATTAACAATAATAATACATTTGGTGATTATTGTGACTATGGATTCCTTTAGTTCATTTTCTATCTGTGCATGTGTGTGTGTTCACAGGGATGAGTTTTCCCTAGGAAATGCCCATCAAGAGGAACCGGCAAAGGCTCGCATGAACCAGCTCCTCCATGTTTTGGCAATGGTTTCTGAGCAGAATGTTACCAATATAGTGGAAAGGATGAAACTGACGCATATAAGCAAGTACTTGGTGGGTAGATAATCAGACACCTGTTTGAAAAAGGAAAAAAAAAAAAAAGCTTTGCTGAGCATTTTTTGACCTGCAAAGACCAGTGAGAAATAAAAATGTAGTCATGGGAATTTTAAAGGTTTTTTCATTAGGAAATGTGCAAGAAGTTACTTGGTTTTCTTTAAGCATTATAGGAAAACTAAAATAATATGATATATAGTAGAATTAGATATAAGACATGCAAGGATTGGTCAGCTCGATGAAATTCTGTGAAACAAATGTTTTTTGGAGAGGAGTGATCGGAGCTTTATTTTCTTAAAGGTTTCTCGGCCACCTCTGGAGTTTGTTGTGATGATCAAAAATGTTCTAGAGGAGGAGAAGGCTCTCCTCAAAAAGGTAAGATTTTTTTTCTGTCACATTTTAAAGGCATATATTGACAGCTATGATCAGAAAATGACAGTGCTCTAATGTTTATTTTATTCAGTGGTGTGTCTTCTACTTCCTACCTAACTTGATAAAGTCTCTGTTTGGATATCTACTGGATTGGAAAGATTTTTTAAATTTTGTTTTATGCTTTCCTTATGTCTTCGTTGGGAAGTGTTTGACTCTGTGGGGCGGATTTCGAATGAGGTCTCTGTTCCAAGGGTTGATGATCAATTCAATTCCATCAATTCCTGTAAGCCGTAATGTTAAGGCTTCCATCTTTATCCATGTATACTAAAGGAAGTGTGTTGTTCTAGTCTCTCTGGTAAACTTGATGTTGTTGTATATAAACAGCGCCAACTGTTGGGGCTCAAAACATTTGATGGAGAGTAAAGTATATCAAATACTGAGTGTAGTACGATCAGAAATTCTTAGATCTCAGGTGCATTTGTTGTTAGACTGCATGGTAACAAATCCTTTATTTTATTGTGGCCTCTTTTCAGTGTTTTCTCTTATGGATAGGGCCATGTGGCTACACACATTTTAAGATGGTGCTTTCATTTCATTTTGCTGCACTGGGGCATGACAATGTTTTAGGTATGGTTTATTTTCATTAGTGGTTTTTACAGTTAAATTATTTGTATTGTCATTTGTCAGCTATTAATGTGATCTCCATGATGTTAAATTCAGGACTAAGAAATAAGGTTTGTGTGTTTTAGGGCCACCGTCCTATTTTAACAATTAAAGTTTATAGGAAAGTGCACTTAAGTCTAGAGACTGATGGTGTTGGAAATGTGTAAGGTTATTTTAGACTCTAAAGTTGGGTATTTACTGAAGGTGTATTAATTTAAACTTTACTGTGAATTTTGCAGTGTTGTGGTGTATCATTCAGATTCATGTCAGAGTTTCCACTGTGTGGAAGTAGCGGCCTAGTGGTCAGGGTATAGAGCTTGGATTCCTGAGATTCCTGCAGCCCTGCAGACTGCCACTCTGGCTCCCTGAGCAAAAACCCTGAGCCCCACAAGTGCTGTACAATGCCAGCCTACTGCTCCCCAAGTTAAATGCATAGAGGGAATTTCGTTTCTCTGTACTTATGACGTTGTGATGACAATAAGAAGATGAAACAATGAAACAAACAACACTGATTCCTCAGAGCATTGTAAAGTATATTTGTGATTTGGTCTGGATAACTAGGGCTAAGGGGTCATATTGTTTTCCAAATGTACTTAACTTAGTGAATTGAATTTTCTGGCATTTGCTTCGTACCAGTGGTCTGCAGAGATAACATAGAGCGTTAACATTTGGTAAATCCTTCTTTTGCTTATGTTTGCTTGGATTTGATGCGGTGTCATCAGCATATCTGAACCAGTGGCTCCATTTAAGGAATTCAAGGCTGTTTTTTCCACTTCCTCAATGCAGAGATTTGGCCACAATCACAGCACAGCACAGCCAAGCATGTCAATAAGTCAAGAACACATAGAGGTCCATCAAGGATTTATCTAAAATGGTCTGAAATCAGTCCCGTTGATAAGACTTACATCATAATGGAGTTGTATCCTTATTTGATCAAATGCAGTCCAGTGTCATCATAGAACTTTTAAATTGTCTCTTACAGATTAAATATCTACCAGTCTTGCTTGCACAAGGTTGTTAGTTGAAACTTTTTTTGTCCAAGCAAAGAAAAATTTTCTTTATTAGTCTTTTGCACATGCTGCATTTTTGTAAAGTTTGAGAAATACATTACAGCTGTATTAAAAGATATTTAAATTAATTTTTCAGATGAAATGATTAATTTGATGTTCAAACGTTAGTCCTGGTAGCAGCTCAGCTTTTATAAAAATTAAATCTTTGACTGTTTCTGCAGCCTAAAGATATGGTCTTAAAATGTTATAAATAAAACTGTCATATTTATTTCTAACATAAATGTTATATATACAACTGTTATAGTTGTTTTTATTTTCAAAACCATAATGTTTGTTTATATAGTAGTTTTAAGTTAAAAAATAAACTTGTGAAGTTTTTCTAAAGCTCTCCAGCTATCACCAAGTTAAATTAACACTATTCTGTTTCTGAAGCACAACTTCAAACCGAGGGGTCTTCAACATAAATTAAAAAGTCATGAAGAGGATATAAAGAAACTGATGAGCGATGTGGTTTTGGCCCAGTCAATCAGAAAAAGAAAGCATCAGCTCGAAGAAGAATACAACTGGGAGAAGCAAAACTATGAAACTTTGCAAGGTAAGAGTTGGTTCTGCAGTTGTTTAAAACTAAAAACATACTAATGCTCTCAGATAAAAGATACATTTGTGCATCATTTTCAATACCATTAAGTCCTTTCAACAACAGGCAAATATGTGTTTTGTGTAGGGATGGGGATCGAAACCCGGTTCCATCAAGGACCC